CTTTTATAGATAGCTGCTAGTACAACTTCATCAAATTCATATGGATTATGCGGCTTATCAACGTATCAGCAACAGTATACCACAATCGGTAATGAGTTATACTCCAATACTTGCATCACTACTGCCTCATCCAACAATTCATATTCAGCTACCGTATCGTCCTTTGCTACCCAAAGACCTCAAGCTATCGTTACACCAATGACTGCTACTATAACTGTCAGTGAGCCTGTAAACCAAGGTTGGTTTTTTTGTTTACTTTTAATCTTTTAATTTACCATGTAATATATGTGATTTATTTATGTGAAAAAAGGAAATCATTTTTTTTTTTTTAGAATCTACGTTATGCTTTTTTTCAGAATCAAAAACGAAAAAAATGGATGACAATAAAAGACAAAATAATGGAATTATTATATCCAATATTAAGAACAATAATACACTTGAAAAAGAAAAACAAAAATTAAATAATCAACACTGTGTACAGTGTTCTACAGGAATTACTCAACTAAGTACCATTAGTGACACTACTAGTATTACTACTGCTGGTATTAATAGTAATAATTATGGAAATGTTTTGGATCATCATATAACAGCAATGATCGATAATTCACATTCAACAATTACCGATTCCGATTTGATGGAAACAAAAAAAATTGACGTCACTGATGAAAATAATCAGCAATTTTCACCATTTCTAACAATCACTGATTATTCTATTATATCATCAACAAAAAGTCAAAGTTGCTTATCACCGGTTATTGAAGATTCGAATTCATCAGGTTCATAATTAATCTTAATACAATACTGATAATAGATTTGAATTCATTGATATATATATTAATCCTTTATAATATTGACATTCCATTAATCATCAATATTAACTATGTTTGTGTATACAAATAGTTCTGTATTTTTGCTGAAAAAATAGGTGATAGTACTAAATAGATGGTATTAAAGTGCGATTATATTAATTAATTAATTTTATTTTACTACAGTTTGCTTTTTTCGGCAACAATTATATGTGAACTATGATTAACAGGTTTAATTAGTAAAATTTTAAGTTTAATAAAATAAAATTTAACAAAAAATATTTTTTCCAAATTACAGATAACAATAGTTATCTAACCACAGATTCCATCTCGACAGTTGCATCCATTTCGTCATCAGCTAGAAATGTAAATGCTTCCGAAACAACAATCCGTTTAATTGCACCATCGGATACCGTTTCATCTTCCATTGCTGTACGCAGAGGATATTTTTTCCCCTTTCTTTTTTTAGAAAAATAAATTTAAATGAAATTATTGCGATAATTTTTTTAAACATAAACTCCTCAGATGAAAGTTTATTTTTTTCACAAATATATTCCGCCAAACAACAAAAACAACTAGTAATTGTTTATCAGATTTTAATATTAATGATGAAAATTGAATAATTAAATGTTGATATGTTAATAAATATTGCGATCATTCATCAAATTCTTTCTTTAAGTTGACCCTCTAATCCGATTTTAGATTTTAAATATTTAGACTTCACATTTATCATCAGCCAAAGGTGAACGTATGGTATCATCAAGTAAGTCTACTTCATCATCACCATCAACTCACTCATTATCCAATCGAAATATTACTGATAAACGTCACTCTTCTTCCACACGTATGACTAATTCACGTACAAATGAATCCTTAACAAGTTAGTTTTTCAATTTAATATAAAAAATATTTACATATAATGTTGGTAAAAACCAATTGTAAAATTTTGAAATTTCCCAAAACAGTTACAGTTGTTATAAAAAATGTTCTTTTCTATTTTTAAAATTTTTTTCATTACTTGCAGTGATCTTTTAAATTTGAAACTTAAACTTAAAAACTTAAACTTTTCAGCATTTATTTCTTTTTTTTTAGAGTCAGAATTAATTACAAACACTGGGACGAAAGTGTCACGCACGAGATTACATCGTTCACCGATCAATCATTCAACGACGAATGCAAATGGTTCAAATGTGACCACTAATAGTAATATTGTGGAAAATATGCGTAAAGTAAGCTTTGTTTTAAATTTTCTTGTATAAAATTAAAAGTTACTGATTGATTTACGAAATTCCCTTCAGGTTTTAAGACTTCGCAGAAAAATGAAACAAAAAGAGAAAATTAAAAAATTTGAAATACCAATATTTAATCGCGAAGTAAGCTTGTTTAATCGTCTCACAGTGTTTCATTTCTTCCATCAATACAATGTTTTCTTAATTGCTAGTATTTTTTAATTTTTTAAATTAATTTTTGCTAAATTTAATGAGATTTTTAATCACAATTATGCATGATTGTCATTGAAAATTTTTATAAAACTAAATTTTTTTTACTGGTTTTTTGTCTTCTTAGGTTCTCGAAAGTCGTCTAAATATAACATTGCCATCAGGGCGATCACAATTATCAGCTTCATTAGCAGATGGTGTTAAATTATGTAACTTTGCTAATCGGATACGTTTACGTGCGGTGAACAGTTTATTTACGCCAGTTTCCGAGGAGGTAAGTAATATTTTAATTTATTTTGACTTAATTAAATCTTTCGATTCGTTTTGAATCATTTATTTGTTTGGACATGATTTATGTTACTTTAATACTTAAGATCGGTACTGATACTAGATTTATTGCTGGAAAATAAGTTCTTAATTTAGCCTTATTTATTTTTTTTTATATTCCAAGGAATTAGTTTTTTTCTCAATTCATTCTCTAGTTTGAGATATCGGCATATTAACGACCATTAAAAGTTAATAATACTTATATAAACAATTGTATATCTTGGTAAGAGTGATAGGTTTAGAAAAAAAAGTAGTGGTAGGTTAATTTTTCATGTAATATTAATTTTCTTATTAAATATCGGTTCCGATGTTATAAGATTTCAATTTTTAATATTCTTTGATATTCCATGAAATAAAAAATTGAATTTTATAGTTGCCGTTATCATCACCAAAATGCCGGCGTAATGTTAACAGTTTCTTGGCAGCATGTCGACGGATTGGTGTTCCCGAGGTAAATCTTTGATTTGAAGTAATTATATCTAATTAAATAACTAAATATAATTGCAAGAAATGAAGAACCAATATATTATTGAATAACATATGCAATTGTAATAATCGTTTGATTATAATTGAAATTTATATAAATTTAAA